AAATATGGCTGGGGACCCAGCAAATCTCTACGGATTTAAATTTACTGGAGATAAACATCCAATGTTGAATCTCGACGACCACCGGATGAACTGGATTAAAGGACTCCAGAGCCACGAAGGCATTGCGAGAGTCAACTACAACCACAAAGGAGGATTGACAGTGAGAAAGCAGGAGACGAAGAGCATGGAGAATACATGTTCTGTTCTGTTCTGTTGAACGCATAAAGTTCTGCCGTGAAGATGCTACAGTCCGACTCTGGGACCTGGTCGCCCACCCCATGAGCCTGGGTAAGAGAGGTTGTTTCGTTTTCCCATACAGCATTCGTTCTAAGTGGATGGCTGGGTGTCCAGGCTGGGGCGAAAAGGGATAATGAGGTCTTGGCACCAGTGTGGGAGAGTGGATGAAGCAGGAGGACTCCCCTGTTAAAAAGGGGGAGCACCACTAGGGACGACGCACCCCTTCCTGCACTGGCCCGCGCTCGACCTCCCTGGCTCCCCTGGTAGGTGGTATCCCTTGGTTCCAGGGCCCAAGGGATAATGAGATAATGGGGATAACTGGGGCCCTGGAACCAAGGGATACCACCTACCAGGGGAGCCAGGAAGGTCGAGCGCGGGCCAGTGCAGGAAGTGGTGCGTCGTTCCCAGTGGTACTCCCCCTTTTTAACAGGGAAGTCCTCCTGCTTCATCCACTCTCCCACACTGGTGCTAAGACCTCATTATCCTTATTTGCCCCAGCCTGGACACCCAGCCATCCACTTAGGGCAGCCCCTCAGGGGCGACCCCTCCAGTGGGCGGTACTGTGACTCAAGGACCCTACATGGTGCCCTTCTGCATGTACAGCACCCAAAGAGGGGCAGGAGAGGGGGCGAAGGCAACCCTCACCAGTCCCAGGGAGGTGTACGTGAGCCCCTCACCATGAAAAGGCAACACGATGGAGGAGGGGATCCTCGTACAAACTATATTTATAAGTATCATTCACTTAATTAAGATTTGGTATCCAACACACAGCATTTCTTTCAGACACTGAACACAATTTCTGCCAAGAAAAATTTGACTATCATATTCCCATTGCCGACTGACTTCTTACATCGCTTCATGGGCCATGATGAATCAACAGACACCAGCTGTTTCTGCAATGCTGCCTTCTGAAAAAAAAAAAAATTACACACTTAAAACAAAACTTTGGGAACTACCTCCTACACTGCCTAGGTATGGCAGTGTGGGTAGCAAGGTATGGGGGATACAGTAGTTCATAACATGATAAATAACTACAAGTTAGTTTTTGTGGGATATTCTGATGGTTTTATCTATGTCTAATGTTATGAGGGAAATATTTGGTAAAGTTCTGCCAGTGACAAGTTTATACACTGGGATGTTGGCCAAAATGTTTAGAGCCCCATTGATTTTGTATGTTTTACTTTTATTCCACATGCAAACTTTTGAATTTAAGACTATTGACTTTCCAGTACTTTCAGCAGTGTATATATTAATTTAAAATTTTTAACATTTCATGTAACTTATCATGTTCCAAGTTCCTATGACCACTTTCTATAAAATTTGCATCCATTGGGATGAGAAATGGTCACTTATGGAGGTCATCAAGAACCCGCCACGTGAGATCCAAGTAAAGGGACAACGAGCAGAGAGAAAGATCAAGACAGGAAAGGGTGTGAGTCCAAGAGTCCACATGAGTATGCTTACCAGAATTCAGAAGAGACAGGGAAGAAGAGAGAACGAACGGTTCGAGAAGGCAGCATCGATTGTTTGTCAGAACATCACCCCACAGGGTATGTCGACAGTTTAAATCACCCAACAGGAGCACTGGCTCAGGCAAGGAGTCCAGGAGGTGCTTAAGATCAGGAAAAGAAAGCGGGACATTTGTGGGGAGATAAATGGAACAGACTGTATACCATTTACTCACAAAAACACAGGCAGCAGAACAATGTATAGGCGATGGAAAAAAGTAGGGGAGACGAAGAGAATATCAGAACGAATCAAGAGAGCAGTAGAGTTATGGGGGGGGGAGGGGGAGAGAGAAAGGAATAACCACGAAAGTGACCAGGACAAGCACCAAGCATTGACTCCTGGAGACAAACACAAAGTGGTGAAAACTGTGTAATCAGAAGTTGGAGTTCATGGAAGTTAGCATAAAATCCATGAATATTCCACTGAAGAATAGACATTATCAAAAAGAGAAAGGACAGGAACACAGAAAAATGAAGACACAAAGGTAAAGAAGAACACAGTATATTAAATAAGATCAGGATCAGGGTTAGGGAACATGAGTAAACTTAGTAAGGATGGAGGGAAGGGAGGACAGACCAGAGGCGGACCGACGGGGTCCAGAGGAGGAAACAACCGAGAGGGGCAGTCAAGGACAGCAGGAGGAGGAGGGGGGGGGGGGTAGAAACCAGGGAGCGCAACTCGGCAATGGCAGAAACCCAAAGGGAATCGGGGGCTAAACAAACTTCCATAGCCGGGATAGGGGGTACGACCAGTGAAATGGGAGTGGATGTAGTGATAGAGTAAGAGATGGGAAGGGAGGGGGGGGGCGAGGAAAGAAAGTGATGCCTTCTTACCCGCTGGGGAGAAGAGCCAGGCTTACGTTTCTGACTCAAAAAGACAGGTGTTCCAGTAACAACATACTGGGCAACAGACTCAATGGTCTCATCAGAAGAAGAACGGGGGCAAACATGAAGATTGCTGGGATGATGATGGACAACAGCCTGGACAGACAGGCGGCATGGAGGGCCAAGAGACTGGAGGGCTAGGAAGAAGGATCGGGGGGAGATGGGAAAGAAGAGACAGGAAACATGGTGCACTGGGTAGGAAGGGGGGAAAACTCCAGATGGAGAACCAAGAGGGAGACCCTTTGGGACAGAACGTAAAGGAACAGGGGAGGAGGCGGTGGGTATGTCTACATCCAAGGCCTGGAAACGGTTGTGTGACCGAGGAAGGTGGGAAGGACAAGGAGAGGTAGAATGCAACACGCAAGCATAAGATACGCCAGTGAAAGGGTGAAGACGGCGGACTTGGCATCTCACTTCAAGAAAAGTCAAACGATCCCTGTGTTTCAAGTTGAGGACGGCTTCCTCAAGCTTGTAGTGTATATACGTGCGGGAGAAGATAGGGTGGGCCTCACCGCAATTGAGACAGCGAGCCTGGGGAGAGGAGCAATCTGTCTTAGAGTGGTCAATGCCCCCACACATGGGGCACAGAGACAAAACTTGAGTATTTGAGGGCACCGAGCCCAAAATTACAGCACTTATTACAAAGTCTAGGAGAGGGGATGTACTCCTGAACGGGGCACCTGGCACCAGCAAGAATGATAGAGGGCGGAAGGGGTCCTACTATCTTGATTTTCACAACTCGAAGGGGCTGATGACGATGACCACGAGGGGGTCGAGTGAACGTGTCCACCTGGAGGACAGGATGGCCTTGAGCTTCGAGGATATGTTTAATATCCTCATGGTCCTATCCTTTTAGGTCCTGAACACCAGTTGCAATATGTGGGAGGAGAACAGAGTCAACACTGGCATTTAACCAAGCATTTTTGGAGACCCCGAACAGGAGTCTCCCCAATGCAGGACAATGCGGCTAAGCAGGTAGCTGCATCCCAAGAAGGATCAGCGACTACACGTGTACTGAAACGGGTGGGGTTAAAAGTAACAGAGGCATCTACCGAATCAACAAGGTGTTTATGGAGGGAGAAATCGTCAGGTGGTGTAGAATCCGGATGGAGGAAAAAGTATTTAGCCCACGAAGCAGGACCAAACAAAAAGTTGTACTTATTAGTATGGGAAGGGATCGTGCGAATTTAGCCGTGGCAGGAACGGCATTGAGAACCCCCAGACAGAGAGGGAGTAAAAGGTGCAGTAGTCACAATGAGAGACTGAGCCGTGTCAAGGGACAAGGTGGTCCCCGCTGGGGGCTTGGGGCTTGACCCAACCACAGAAGGGAGGGGAGCCAAGGGAAGCAGTCAGGAGGGTCAGAGGAGCACCTAGGTCTGGGCCCAATGTAGCGAGGACTACAGAGCCCGGTCTTCCAACACAGTCCGACTCGGAGGCTTGGTCGCCCACCCCACGAGCCTGAAAAGTCATAGGAGCAACAGTATTCAGCGACATGAAAATGAGAGGTAATACTTTCGTTCACGAATGTGCCCCCGTACCCACCACAGAGCCAAAATTAGAGCATAGGACACCGAACAAGAGATATGTTGCCAGTCTTTCCGGGGCCCCCCAGGGGTGCGTCGTGAGTATGCTCCCCACAAACGCCACCTTAAGAACCGTCGAGATCGGGTTCAGTGACGAAAGCAGCATTGACAATAAAAGCGTCCCCTCGCTCACGACGTTGGGTACCACAGTTCTATGGGCGAGAGAGTACGCCTCCCCAAACACCCGGGTGTCAAAACATAAGTAGTTCGAAAGAATAATCAAGACTGGCAAAAGGTTGGCAGGAAATGACAATTAGAAAGAAGAGAGAAATTAAGGGGGGGAAGGGGAAATGACAGTTAGAAAGGTGAAGAGAGGAATTAAGGGGGAGAAGGGGGGGAATTAAACACAAGGAAAAGGAAAAGACATCTGGTAAAATTGAAGACAGCGGCAGAAGCATAAGGCTTCAAAACAACAGAGGACTGACCCATGGAGCATCACACACTGGCAGCCACCCACCAAGCCCCCTCACGACGACAACGGGCCAGAAAGGGAGGGGGTTACAAGCTCAAGCAATAATTACACACACACACAATATAAAATATATATATATATATATATATATATATATATATATATATATATATATATATATATATATATATATATATATATATATATATATATATATATAATTACACAATATTTAATATATTAATTTTATATAAAATATATATAATATATTAATATATTTTAATTATATATATATATTATATTTTAATTATATATATTATATATATATATATTATATTTTAATTATATATATTATATATATATAATATATATAATATCGGACAATCAAGAAAATGCATGTTTTCTTGGTCACAAAGTTGACACAGACGATGAGTGACTAACTTGCCTGAAGATATGATGAACAAACTACAACGTTTCGGGGTCCGTCCTGGATCATCATCAACTCCATTATGATACTGGACCATCATCGTTTCGGTCCAAGACGGATCGAAACGTCGACTCTTCAGCTTCTGACGTGTCATTTGGTCATCAAAGTTGACAACTTTTGAGACAGCTCCTGCCACATGCGTCACGTGAATGGAACAGTCATCATCTGCTTCCGTCTTCCTCTCTGGCCAATCATCTCGGGTTCCCTAGTTATGAGACGAGGTCATACACCACTCTCCTGTTGAAATTTTAATTCTTAAATATATTGTTTGATATATAACATGTCTCGCATAATATTTTACAATTTATTTCACCCTGTCCTCTCACTTAATATTTTACATCTTTTATAGAGTCTAATGTTAAAAATGTGACGTGTTTCTAACATCTAAAACACTGAAACATTGACGTTCTCTATGCATCGTCCTTCATATGTTTAACGTTAGGCATAATATTTGCCGTTTTTATGGAACAGTTGCATGGGGACGGGGGAAGGGGGGAATGAATTACAGCTCTTGGTCTCCACCTCTCAGCGTCACAAACCTCATTCCCTCCTCGATTTCATCTTCACATGTTACCGTTCATCCTCTCCTTTCACCTCGTTCGTCCACCTTCACTTTCCCGGCCCTCTGTCTGTCCCCCCCCCCCCATGTCAGCAGCTGCACCTCCTCCCTGCCCCATTCTGTATTCTATGTACATGCACTCGTGTACATGCACTCGTGTACATGCACTCGTGTACATACACTCGTGTACATACACTCGTGTACATGTACTCTATACCTCTCTTCCACCATCCCCACGTGCCCAATCCACCACAATTCTGGACTAATACCCCGCACCCTCTCGTCTGCGGAGGTGGTTGAGCTGGGCGTGGTCAGCTCTGTTACAGCCACGGCCTTCGAAACCCGCCACCGTCCTTCACATAACCACTTTTTGCCCCTCTCCTTTTTTGTTGGGTGGGGGGGGGGGAGGGATTCTTTGTAACTTTTTACCGTTTGCATCAAAAGGCTAAATAATGCTGAGAAAATCAAATACCTATAGCTACTGTATGGGTATTTTGAAGTGTAATATTTGCTCGAGGTAACAGATGGACCCTCCAGATTTTATCTGTTACGTAATCAACTATTAACTAAACACTAACCCCCATCACTGCTGAAACTATTAGTCATGCAAGCCATCTCCACCCACAACCTTAAAATCCGATTCGAATGATGAACTTTAAATCAACCATAACTGTTACAAAGAGATTACTAGGCGGGACAGCAAGAGCTACACCTCACTTCCCTGTGAAGTTTCTCTGTGAAGTAGTAGTACACCGTCACCCAGCCGCTGTCTACCAGCTGGCCCCCACCTAAAACAAACCAGTCTAATGACGACCCGACAACCCCACCAACTTCTCAAGGCCAGCCAAAGATCAATCCACCTCCCCACCCACACCCTGCTACTTCTTGCTTCTTGAGGTTATCTTGAGATGATTTCGGGGCTTTAGTGTCCCCGCGGCCCGGTCCTCGACCAGGCCTCCACTCCCAGGAAGCAGCCCGTGACAGCTGACTGACACCCAGGTACCTATTTTACTGCTAGGTAACAGGGGCATAGGGTGAAAGAAACTCTGCCCATTATTTCTCGCCGGCGTCCGGGATCGAACCCAGGACCACAGTATCACAAGTCCAGCATGCTGTCCGCTCGGCTGACCGGCTTCCTTATTTACTATACATATCTATCTATAACTACCACACACAACCTGCTAGAACAGCCATCACGTTGGTAGGGGGGGGGGTAGATATGGCTATTTACCAATTACCACTTGAATGGTCTACCATCCACAAACACTAATGATAAGACTGATAGACATACTAACACATTTTGTATAGTTTCTGACGGAACTTCACTATAACCGAATACTGAAGTGGACCTCGCCACACTAAGACTCAACACGTAGGGCAGACATGATAATGACATACAAGATCTCATGAAAAATTCACGAAGTATACAGAAGCGACTAATACCAAAATTAAAAGACAATTATGTAAACTAGAAAGATGTCCAAAATAACTAGAGTAAGAAACCTACATAAATGGACCACATCAGTGTTTTAAATGTTGATTAAATTCAGTTTTAAAGGAAATACGCAAATGAAAGAAACCTAATTGTACTAAACCTTGCAAGTACATATAGGATGGCTAGGAGACTATCAGTCAAGGATATCTATCATTTCATGATAGATATCCACTATCCACGTGATAACCACTATCATGGATATCACGCCCTCAAAACATTACCATAACTCTCATAAACCAATACGTCATCTTCAATAGTATATTTCGCATTTTGACGTATAAATTCCCCCCCCCCTCCCACCCAAAAAAAATAAACACTAACGAACTAAACAAAATCATACCAGCTTGCACAATTGATATGTCCCTCTTTCTCTTCGTGGGTCCATGGTTTGCTTACCTTCAATTACTTTACTACAATATTGTATTCACGTTTTGAACTCTCGGGTCCCATGGGCTGTGCCTGCATGAGTGTCCTCAAGATTAGTACCGCTAGCCGAAGGTTATCGAAGGCCAAACACCAGCCACGCGAGTCCTGTAATACGCACTTGGTTTCCAAGAAAAAGATCATGGGGACGATTCCCGTACATTTCCTTGCACCCAGTGCCTCTGTACACCTACCATGAAGGTCTGACCCACGAGTTAGGCAACTGATGTCGGTTACATTTTTGGGAAGGTCAGTAGTTGGCCCAAGGGATGTGGGGGGCACCTTCATAAGTGTGCCCTTGCCGATATGAGGAAACTCACGACACAGACAAAACTACCCAACTAATTATCATAATAATGCACCAAGCCAGGAAGATCATGTACTACCATCTGTATTGCTAGATGTTCTGAGCGCTAAATATCTATCAGGATGCCAATATGAAAACATGTAAGGTGAATGCTGTCAAGGGAATCTGATTCACCAAGCATTCTCTTAAGGGACAAATGTTCTCGACGGACATTAGGAAACCAACACATACGGTCATCATGACAATTGGGACACGCAGACCACAGGATGCATAGGAGATGCACCATATACGTTTCATCGGGAAACACCACAGTGCATCTAACACCATCGGCACACTTACACCCATCTCTGAAAAAGGCAACAGAATTTAAGTGAGAAGATAAATATTCTAGAAAAAGCCACTTCATAACAAGAGGAGTGGTAGAAGACTTTATTATGAAAGGTCAAAGTCCTGCAAAACTTTGCAAGTGCTACCCTCTATGGAGGTAACAATGGAACGACAAGAGGGAACACATTGCTAATAAAATCTCTCTCTTACAGGGAGGCCTGTAAGACACACATCCGAACAGAAAAAGGAAGGTGATGAAAGGGAACGGACCCATCAGAGGGGCAACTGTGAGAATAAAGATGTTGCCGAGAATCTTGCAAAGTAGCGAGGGCAGTAACTGTATTTACGATCCTTCAGCGACAAGAAATCTGTTTCAACTCACAAGCTCTGGATAGGGAACAAAAGAAAGGCAAAACCCAGCCTGTTGCAGATCATCAAAACAAGGACCATGAAACGAGTAGTCAGTGCAGCCATAATCCACTTTAGACAGCAGCAAAGACCACTGCAAAGAGAGGAGGGTGCATCTATCACCACCCCAGGAAGTATTGGACATTCATTGATCATTGATCTCGGAGGTAAGATATGTGGAGGTAGGGACCAAAGCAAACTCCAAAATTTGAGCCTAATCCTTATAGAGAAGGGGGTGATTACCATACAAGGACAATGGGGGACGAATAACTATCTGCCTACAAGTGCAATTCATTGCACAAGTCTTAAATGTACACAACCTAAACACATAATTGGTGGCCGAGAACCACACACGATCCATCATAAGGGACCCATCAAACACCACCATCTCACGGGTACATCCTAAATATACACCCCGTAATCATTTCCTTTGGAACGGACACTCCGTCGATATCAGCATCAGCAAGAAAAGCGTGGTTTCACATAACAGTTTCCCCATCACTCAAATTTGTCAGGTACTCTAGTTCTACAGATGAGAGGATCCTGTCTCAATTCACCCCGGCATCAAAACATAACTAATCAAATTAAAGAATAATCAAGATCGGAACCAACAACCTTAAAGAAGAGGTAGAGAGGAACAAACTAGATGAAAACAGGGATCCAGCAAGCCTCCTCCCACAAAGTGCCCTCACCACAACGGCTGGAAGCGGTGGTAAGAGAGACAGACAAGTGAAGTATTTACAGTATAGTAAAAAGTATAGAAATTCCTTTACAGCAAAAAGGAATTTCCTTGGTACAGCCGAATGTCACATTACACCAATCCAACTTTATGTAGATAAACTAAATTTTCTTTTTAAATGCCTTTTAAATCTTAAATGCACTGCCATTCTCCTTACCTATCCTAGTATCATCTCAAACTCCTGTCTCCCTCTCCTAAGTCCCCTATCTACCTCTCTAGTATCACTGCCATAATACCTCACCCCCCACTCCAACATACCCCCCACAGACATCTCAAAAAATAACAATTCCCTCTGTCTTTTACCCCCCCCCCCCCACCCTTTTTCACATCACTCGTCCTCCCCCACTGAACCATGACTTGTATGTAAGTTATATTCTAAAACGTATGAAGTGTGTTGACACAATGGGTTTACGAGATGAAATGCCAATTGGAACTAAATCCACAATGACATTGAGGGTGTCGGGGTTGGGGGTATCTGTCGGTCTGTCTGTCTCTCAATTCACACAAACGAGAGGGAAGTAGGTAGGTTATTAACCAAAAATATTTTCAGTGTTTTAGTTCTTCTCTGTACTAACTGAGGCCTTTTCCTGCAGGTTACGCTAGTGATGCGACGATGGCGAACGGGGATGGGTCTCCTGCAGTACCACAGCCTCCTACTGCTGTGTTGTCTTCTGCGTGTGTCACAGAGCGCGCCCCCAGACTACAGTTTAGAAGATACTACCAGCAAAGAATTGCCTGTCAGTCCACATTACACCATCAGCTATACAACAGGGTCCAGGAGTGGAGTTGCCTCGCCCGGTGCTAGTACTTTCCAAACACAACAAGTCTTCATAAAGCCTGAGAGCGCAGAACAGCCTGACCTCAGTAGAGAGGTATTCAGGCATGGTCAACAAACTTTCTCTTCGAATGCACAACATTTTCCAGCTCCCATCTTCGCTCAAAGTTCTGGTGGGAGTCAAAGCACTGTATCTCAAGTAAATGCAGTCCCTAACCACTTTAAAAACATCCAAGCCAGCAGGTCAAACCAAAATGTAGAGTTCTCAATTGGTAGCTCTGTATTACCCAGTGTAGGAGCATCGTCTGGGACCCAAGGGGGATTTTCCTCACAATATATTGTGTTTAAGGATGATGATAACGACTCTCTTGAAGACGACGATTACACCACACGCTATGTGAGTCTAGGAAGAAGATATCATCCAGATGGGAGTGTGCCTACTTCCCCTAAAGAACTCTTCATTCCTCCAACTGCCCCAGTTGCTGCTGCCAGGACAAGTTTTAATTCTAAACAAATCTTACCAGGATTTAAAAATCCATACATATATGCTGTTGGATATTCCAACGAAGATCTAGATGGGGACGACCTTGACGACGATGACGATCTAAAACTCTATGTTGGCAAAAATTTTGTGAGCCTCAGGCGTCAGGACAGTGACGAAGAACGCATAGTCATTCACGATTCTGTTTTAAAAGACCGTTACAACTTCGTCGATAGCCAGGGCAGCATCCGGTGGGGCTACACCCTCGATGACCAATATCAGAATCAAGTCGTGAAAACAGATGGAACAATGGAAGGAAAGTTTGGATGGACAGCTCCAAATGGCCGCGAAATCAAAGTAGACTATATAGCAGACGAAGGTGGTTATAGAATACTTCCATCTTCTAGGGGTATTTTTCCAGACGATGATGAATCTGTAAAGAAGTTGAAGGAAGAGCACTTCCAGGTTCACCAAGGAATTGCAAGTGGTCGAGCTCCTTCTGATACAGCATCATTTGGTGTGCCGCTTCCCGGTGTAGAACAGCCAGGTTTACAAGTATCCCCTGAAGTTCAAACGGGCCCAGTAGGAGTCCCACTTCCTGCATTTGCGGCTGGCAGCGGTGGTCAGGTTGCACCCAGTGGCACTACAGGACCACCAGGTTATTTTTTTACTATTGATGATGACGATGACGAATTCCCGACGCCTGCTGGAGGAGGGGTGGCTCTTCCTGGATTCGGCCAAAATGGTCAAGGAGCTGGAGATACATCTTTCCAAGGCCCACCTTCAGGAGTCTCTCTGTCAGGACCCCCAGCAACAGGCATTGGTTCAACTAGCACAGGCGTGCCTCTGCCGAGTCTAGGAACCAGTGCTCAACCCGTTGGACCACCTACGTCGGGTTTTTTTGAGAAGGACGAGCAAGCTTTCGTCCTAGATGGAGGGGGTACAAGCTCTACTGTTGCAACAGCAACTCCAGGATTCGGTGAAGTAGGAGTGCCCTTGCCTGGATTTGGTGGAGCAGCAAGTCCTGGATTCGATACTGGGGCAGCAAGTCCTGGATTCGATACTGGGGCAGCAAGTCCTGGATTCGATACTGGGGCAGCAAGTCCTGGATTCGATACTGGAGCAGCAAGTCCAGGATTCGGTGAAGTAGGAGTGCCCTTACCTGGATTTGGTGGAGCAGCAAGTCCTGGATTCGATACTGGAGCAGCAAGTCCTGGATTCGATACTGGAGCAGCAAGTCCTGGATTTGATACTGGAGCAGCAAGTCCTGGATTCGATACTGGAGCAACAAGTCCTGGATTCGATACTGGAGCAGCAACTCCAGGACTCGGTGAAGTAGGAGTGCCATTGCCTGGGTTTGGTGGAACAGCAAGTCCTGGATTCGATACTGGAGCAACAAGTCCTGGATTCGATACTGGAGCAACAAGTCCTGGATTCGATACTGGAGCAGCAACTCCAGGACTCGGTGAAGTAGGAGTGCCATTGCCTGGATTTGGTGGAACAGCAAGTCCTGGATTCGATACTGGAGCAACAAGTCCTGGATTCGATACTGGAGCAGCAACTCCAGGACTCGGTGAAGTAGGAGTGTCATTGCCTGGATTTGGTGGAGCAGCAAGTCCTGGATTCGATACTGGAGCAGCAAGTCCTGGATTCGATACTGGAGCAGCAACTCCAGGATTCGGTGAAGTAGGAGTGCCATTGCCTGGATTTGGTGGAGCAGCAAGTCCTGGATTCGATACTGGAGCAACAAGTACTGGATTCGATACTGGAGCAGCAAGACCTGTATTCGATACTGGAGCAGCAACTCCAGGATTCGGTGAAGTAGGAGTGCCATTGCCTGGATTTGGTGGAACAGCAAGTCCTGGATTCGATACTGGAGCAACAACTCCAGGATTCGGTGAAGTAGGAGTTTCTTTGCCTGGATTTGGTGGAGCAGCAAGTCCTGGATTCGATACTGGAGCAACAAGTCCTGGATTCGATACTGGAGCAACAAGTACTGGATTCGATACTGGAGCAGCAAGACCTGTATTCGATACTGGAGCAGCAAGTCCTGGATTCGATACTGGAGCAGCAAGTCCTGGATTCGATACTGGAGCAGCAAGTCCAGGATTCGATACTGGAGCAGCAAGTCCAGGATTCGGTGAAGTAGGAGTTTCTTTACCTGGATTTGGAGCGAGTGGAACTTCAGGAACGAAGGTGGATGCAGGAACTCCAGGATTCGATACAGGAGCAACAAGTCCCGGATTCGGTAGCGGAACAGCAAGTACAGCTTTTGGTGGTGAAGTAGGAGTGCCTTTGCCTGGATTTGGAACGAGTGGAACTTCAGGAACGAAGACGGATGCAGGAACACCTGGATTCGACACAGGAGCAGCTAGTCCAGGATTCGATGCTGGAGCAGCAACTCCAGGATTCGGTGAAGTAGGAGTGTCATTGCCTGGATTTGGTGGAGCAACAAGTCCTGGATTGGATACTGGAGCAGCAACTCCTGGATTCGACACAGGAGCAGCTAGTCCAGGATTCGATGCTGGAGCAGCAACTCCAGGATTCGGTGAAGTAGGAGTGTCATTGCCTGGATTTGGTGGAGCAGCAAGTCCTGGATTGGATACTGGAGCAGCAAGTACTGGATTCGATACTGGAGCAGCTAGTCCTGGATTCGGTGAAGTAGGAGTGTCATTGCCTGGATTTGGAGTGAGTGGAACTTCAGGAACGAAGGTGGATGCAGGAACTCCAGGATTCGATACTGGAGCAGCAACTCCAGGATTCGATACTGGAGCAACAAGTCCAGGATTCGGTGAAGTAGGAGTTTCTTTACCTGGATTTGGAGCGAGTGGAACTTCAGGAACGAAGGTGGATGCAGGAACTCCAGGATTCGATACAGGAGCAGCAACTCCAGGATTCGATACTGGAGCAACAAGTCCAGGATTCGGTGAAGTAGGAGTTTCTTTACCTGGATTTGGAGCAAGTGGAACTTCAGGAACGAAGGTGGATGCAGGAACTCCAGGATTCGATACTGGAGCAACAAGTCCAGGATTCGGTGAAGTAGGAGTTTCTTTACCTGGATTTGGAGCGAGTGGAACTTCAGGAACGAAGGTGGATGCAGGAACTCCAGGATTCGATACTGGAGCAGCAACTCCAGGATTCGATACTGGAGCAGCAACTCCAGGATTCGATACTGGAGCAACAAGTCCAGGATTCGGTGAAGTAGGAGTGTCATTGCCTGGATTTGGTGGAGCAACAAGTCCTGGATTGGATACTGGAGCAGCAAGTCCAGGATTCGACACAGGAGCAGCTAGTCCAGGATTCGACACAGGAGCAGCTAGTCCTGGATTCGATGCTGGAGCAACAACTCCAGGATTCGGGGAAGTAGGAGTGTCATTGCCTGGATTTGGTGGAGCAGCAAGTCCTGGATTCGACACAGGAGCAGCTAGTCCAGGATTCGACACAGGAGCAGCTAGTCCAGGATTCGACACAGGAGCAGCTAGTCCAGGATTCGACACAGGAGCAGCTAGTCCAGGATTCGACACAGGAGCAGCTAGTCCTGGATTCGATACTGGAGCAACAACTCCTGGATTCGGTGAAGTAGGAGTGTCATTGCCTGGATTTGGTGGAGCAACAAGTCCTGGATTAGACACTGGAGCAGCAAGTACTGGATTAGATACTGGAGCAGCAACTCCTGGATTCGACACAGGAGCATCTAGTCCAGGATTCGATACTGGAGCAGCAACTCCAGGATTCGGTGAAGTAGGAGTGTCATTGCCTGGATTTGGTGGAGCAGCAAGTCCTGGATTCGATACTGGAGCAGCTAGTCCTGGATTCGATACTGGAGCAGCTAGTCCAGGATTCGATACTGGAGCAGCAACTCCAGGATTCGGTGAAGTAGGAGTTTCTTTACCTGGATTTGGAGCAAGTGAAACTTCAGGATTTGCATCTGGAACTGGAACATCAAGTCCAGGATTCGATACTGGAGCAGCAGCAACTGGATTCGGTAGCGGAACAGCAAGTACAGCATTTGGTGGTGAAGTAGGAGTTCCCTTGTCTGGATTTGGGGCTGCAAGTTCAGGATCTGGAACAGAGAGCCAAGGATTGGGTACTGGCCTAGGAAGTACAGGATTTGGTTCTGGCGATACTGGCTTCGGTACAGGAACAGGTATTGCGGATGGAAGTCCCGGATTGGATAGTGGAGCAGGAGGTTCTGGGTTTGGATCTGGCGTAGGAGCATTACCTTCAGCGTCGGGTGGTGATGGAGGAAGTTTGGGGTTTAACTTTGGAGAACCAGGTGGCAGCTTCGGGTCAAGTGCTGGTACAATTAGTTCACAACCTGATTCGGAGGTCGCTCTTACGGGTGGTTCTGCAATTAATCAGGGAATTGGCGAAAGCAAAGCAAGCGAGTCTGGATTTAATGGTGGATCAACTGGGGTACCATTGCCTGGATTTGGATCTGGATTTGATACAGGAAGTTCAGGATCCTCTACAGTTTCTACAACAGGCATGCTAGATGCATCTGATGTACCTTTACAAGGGCCGCCATTCCCAATTGATTTCTCCATAGACTCAAACTTTGGATCTGGGGGTCCCCCAAGTATACAAAATTCGGTATCTACAGACACTACCATTTCTCCAAATACTGCCCCTACAACAGGTCAACAAAGAGGCCAGAAAATTTACATCAACCCAGATATCAGTGCCTTTCCGTTTTTTGAGTTAGGCCCACCTGAGCTTTCTGTAGAAGCTGCAGGTGGGCGTAAAACCCCATTTGATTCCAGTTCTAACACGATCACACACCTCTCAAAGGACGAAGATATATCCGTTTCTTCCAAAAATGACATTACAACAGACGAGACGCTATTAGTCAACTCACGTCACCAAACAGAGGATTTTATATTACTCGAACCTGAACACAAAATGAAAGATTCAATGTCAGTCGAGCCGGGTCGCAAAACGGAGGATACCGAGCCACAAGACGTGGAACAGATTTATTATGATATATATGGCCTTAAGTGGCAAAAGAAAGATTCGGGTCCACCGGAGAAATTGTCGGCTCCTAAAAACCTGGAACTTCCCAAAATCTAACTTCCGTTGTGCTAGCCTTCGATGTTATCATGAACAACGGTATTCTAAGATGTACAACAGTGATCTGACATGGTCTGCCATAAACTTTGGCACGTTAATGTCCACGTTTCAAACCATCAAGCGTTTATGAGCAAACTTGGTTACTCGAAGCCACTTGGTTACTCGAAGCCACTTGGTTACTCGAAGCCACATGATGGCAACGTGTTCTGATCTACTGTCTACAATGCTTAATTTATATTTAGCCAATGCCGTCAGCATCTAGACACAAATGTTATCAAAACATATGTTGTCTTACGTGGATACGGAATCTGTGATGTAATTTAGGTCTGTAGTTTTTAATGTATTATCCCCCCCCCCCCCCACCTCGTTCCTCTCTCGTCACTCTTAGTTACCTAACTCTGGTGAGTACGTATCACACAATTCACTCATTTACAGTATGTATATATTATATATTATTCAAATCAATATGAGAAAAAACTAATTCGACGTACTGATACAAAATGTACCCATTTCGCCGTCACATTTCTTTGTAATTATACCTCTTCCATTTATATGTCTGTGCCAACTGGGCCACCATCTTTATCTCTTAAGTGTTCTTTGTCTCCATATTGATTTCCTGGTAAAGAAATAAATGTAAGAAATCAATGTTATGTTTCCTTATCCAATTGTGTGTAATGATCTAGGGAGCTTCACTAATGTTTTGCTTCAGGGAAACACTCAGGATAGATAGCACAAGCACTTAAATCAAGATATACCTCCCACTACACAAGGTAGCAAACCATTGGCTTCAAACCATACACACTAATATAACACACAAACATTTTTGAACGCTAGTTAGGAATCAGGTCTCTAGCTTTTTAGGGAATCCTTCACAATTCAGGTCATCGTGGATTTAGAGAGGGAGGATCCTGGCTATCAAAATGACTCAACCACTATATAGGTTATCTTGAGATGATTTCGGGGCTTTAGTGTCCCCGCGGCCCGGTCCTCGACCAGGCCTCCACCCCCAGGAAGCAGCCCGTGACAGCTGACTAACTCCCAGGTACCTATTTACTGCTAGGTAACAGGGGCATTCAGGGTGAAAGAAACTTTGCCCATTTGTTTCTGCCTCGTGCGGGAATCGAACCCGCGCCACAGAATTACGAGTCCTGCGCGCTATCCACCAGGCTACGAGGCCCCTTACAAAACATGTTTACAAATTTGATATTGTTTGGTGTTGGGCTTAAGACATATCAACCTATGTAGGGTAAAGACCAAGACAATTGCTCACTGACCAACCAGCAAATATACATTAGTCCTGGACATAGTCAAGGACTAAAGTATACGTTCAGTGCATATACACCGTGAAGCGAGTGATCTCTGTATACATAAACCCTGTCTTCATTGTTCTAATGTTGCACAGGATATACAGTAATGCTGACAAGATGCAATGATAATGCAAAACATAACAATGCCTAAACAATTATTAAACCGCGTTTTAATCCTAACCTTTCCTGGTGACTGATCGGCCCGTCCTCCCGAGCACTCAGCATCACTAAACTGGTGTACTAAACTAATCTAACAGAAGACCCACGAACAAAAAACGGGATATCATGTCAATCTCACGACCAGTTATCGTTTTTCAGCCTAACAGAACATATACGTCAAAATCCGATGTACTACGAACGGGTTGTTCCACCAGTCGTGTGTGAACCAACATGCGAAAATGTAAGTGCAATCCACAACATCCCTTGTAACCAAGATTGTCACTTATGCATATGTGAATCTCACAAACTGCAGTCACTCCAGTTACTTTTTTATAATAAATTGATTCACAAAAACACCATTTAACTATTTTGGAATCTACACAGGCTAATTCCACGTGGATCTTCGAATATATATACACAGAGTGGTAGAAATAGGTTAGGCTACTGTATCCTTACTGGATGTATTTTATATCGACACAGTTACTTTATACTAGGCTACAAAATTAAACCTCAAATTTAACATGAACAGTAACATGTAGGTAGTAACTGATCTAAATGGTTTCCCATCACCTTCAATGATAGATATTACCAATCATGATTGCTTATACAGCCACAAAGCCTATTCTAAATTTGAGGTTTCTGGCTGGAAAACAAATCATTATTATTTCTCACCCTTATTTTGAGGTTAATGTTTCTCAACAGGCGGGTTCAGAGGTGCACTTGTTGCACAGTTATGTTGCTCGTGAATGTTCTACAACCACATCCTCCATGCTGGTTGCACACGACGTTCTCTCAAGTCGAGACCTGTGTGTCATATTAAAGAATGAGAGGGTGAAGGCTGACATTGTTTTTATGTCATCAGTGCAACGAAAATTGAATATTTCGGGATTCATTTCAAAATGAAAATGAAATGTTGCCAGAAATGAAATTTCATTTCCAAAAATGGATTTCAGGCGCTAACTTCAGTAACCTATATAAATTGTAACGAGTATTTCGAAATGTATATATCTTGCATACTGTCTCTAGGAAGAAATTCGAAAGAAATTTTAATTAAAAATTGCATAAATATGCACTATATTGCATAAATTGTACCCTCAATGGTACATAGAAGCTAGAGAACAATTGAAGGATTGCATAAGAGATAAATCAATAAAACTGATTATATATTGGGATAATCTAATCAATAAACTACAATTAGTTACTCAAGAAAATATTGTGCTCAACAGTTAGGTAGTATTGTACTCTTTCTCCACAGATGGGGAAATACTATCCTCAGTTAAAGAGGTCGAAGATGGTCGTTCAAAACAATACTTCGCCTGTAAATTATGTACATTACTGTACTCCCCAAATTATTAAACTTGTATAGGTAACAAGTCAACATTCTGAACGTGATGTTACATTAATGCATAAGAAAAAGCTTCATGATCGGCAATCTATAAATCAAATTGTTGCTTATCGTACACTAGTGAAGCAATTAAATTTATATATCTTGCATCTGTGTTTAAATGAATTATTTATTAATAAAGTTAATATAAATGTATTCTTGAATCTAATAACGTACATACCGGAATAAGAATAAAACAAATTAAATTAAATATTTCCTATAATGTCCTTCATGTCTCATTACCCACACGAGGGCAGTGAATTATCTTCATGCCATGGGATTTTTTTTATACTTTGAATAAAAACCAGTAATTGGCGATAATATTAATTATATTGATATGCTCTAATAGCACATGGTTTATGATGATATCCATGCTGGTTAATCCAGCCACCAAACCCTGATTATGAATGGAAAAACCACTTTGCACACGACTCTAACTTGTATTTTTCCCGACCAATGCCTCTGCTCGAATCCCATCTCACTAAATCCTTCATCCACGTACTGCCAATACCAGTATTTGCCATTAGAACCTAACCACCTAAGCTACGTCTAAGTATTCAGCACATTCTAGTATGAAATAATATTGTATTTGAGAAAGTAAACATTTTGAATACGCAGTGCGTTTAAATTTATGAATGCGTCTCAGGTCGTTCGGTGCCCGGCTGACACTGCACCCCGTCCCCTCCCAACGTCACAATCTGTCCCCCAGACCAAGTCCATTGCATCCAGCAGCCCGTCCTCCCAACGTCACAATCTGTCCCCCAGACCAAGTCCAGTGCATCCAGCAGCCCGTCCTCCAAACAAAGACCCAAAAGTGATTTCATGCAGCCACCAAACCCCCTGTTTATGAGTAAACAACAGTTTACACCCGACTCAACTGATTTCGTTCGAACACTTCCGGAACAACTGCTTCACTGACGAATTTTGTTCGAACGACAATTCTATAAATGCTTCACCCACGTACTTCAAATACAAAAATATTCGGCAACATAACCTGAACACCTACGGGTAGTTAAACTATACGTAGCATTTTGATGTTTAAGAATATTAATTTATATATGAGAAGAAAGCAATTTTTAATACACAGTATGTTAATTGATGAATGCATCTGGGGAGGACAGCCGCTGCTTTAAAGAGCCTAGTGTGAGGACGAGTTGAATTTCGTACTAAAGTGCCACCTTATCCTAACCTACCAGAGAACCCAAAACAGAACACGGAACATTATTTCAATTTCGGCAGTCGCTACCATTTTCTAGTAAGGCAATGTTTGCCCTTGGATAAAGTATGGCTCAAAATGCGACGGGTAACTGAGATCAGGTCGTAAATGCAATACGAAAAAGAATTACCTGAACAAACCTATCCTAAGGCTAATTACACACAAACGTATACCACATGTTAATTTACAATCGAAAAGAGAAATTGTTTGGCTATACAATACGATAAAATAATTTATTTCGCATGGCCTAAGAATCGATTGCTCATTTCAAAGTTGAGCCTTGAGCTTTTCTTAAACTATGTTCAACAAAATAAGACAAGTCGGAAGTGGGCATCGTTTTACTCTCTAATGTTTTAAGTCATTAATAAGGCGAAGTGATACTAACAGACATCAACATTCCGAGGTCCACTGACACTAGGCAAATAAACGACCTGAAGTTCACAATCTTACCCCGTCAGCCACATCATGTAGGGAAAGTCTCGCCCAATAACCTAATTAGCATCGTATATTATGTAGCTAATGACGTTCATTTTTCATATCACAGATTATACAATTTTCCTCGATATCCAACCTATACATCACAACATGAAGACACTACCTTGTTTACGTTTATCCAAGACCATTATCAAGTCATGTAAAAATCAGCGTTTCTTCCTTTTCATATGCAGTTTGGATACCATATCTTCCAGTACGATATTATGACTCGTCTGCATAAATTGTCTTCCCAGTTTGCAACGAGTTGAGTACACTCGCGGACACTGAATGAACCATTTGTAATTCTCAGATGCAGAACAACTTTGAAAATGATATATTGGAAGCTTTATCGTCAATATATATTATATTATATTATATATATATATATATATATATATATATATATATATATATATATATATATATATATATATATATATATATATATATATATACTTATTTATTTTCCTAACAATTCTCCAATAGCGATAGTACATATAGCAACTGTTCTCTCAAACGTACAAACATGGACTGATCGACACCCAAACAATTTATTATTATTGTATTAACCCAAATGTTGTTACAAAAATGGACAAGTTAAACATCTACCTTGTCAAGGAGACCCTATGCCTAATACATGCTATGTTAGGCCTATTATAATACATATTTAGGTGCGATACTTGGCCTATAAAGATTTTTGTTCGAGCCTTCTGGAAGCAACCAGGTCTGGTCGACGACCGGGCCGCGGGGACACTAAGCCCCGGAAGCACCTCAAGGTAACCTCAAGGTAGGTTCTACAAAACAAAGTACCAAACGTGAATATAGTTGAATGCGAGTTTATTTTTGTAGGTTCGACCAAACATTTGCTATAAATACTATCATTGAGGAGGCTGCTATGTTTACAAGCAAAAATTTGTCATGACTTATTTGCAGTACTTACATGCAGTACAGTATAATACGTTGTAATGGCTGACTACACCGATACAAACTGGCCAATAACGTTCCTGTCAGGGCAAACGTTCCTTGCATTTTTTTTTTTTTGCCTGCTATTGACCCTAAAGCCTCTCAACGGGAGGAAAGATTACTAATTTACCTGAGGACCAGTATATATTGCTTGTGGCGTAGATGAGGACAGGAAATTTGGACGACACGTGCCTGGCTTGCTCACGTTCCGTATCTCTTCCATAAACCTAGTAGAGGTAAAAACAACTGTATTAGTCTTTAAATATTTGCCTTCGGGTGCCTCTCAAATTCATCTATATCCGTAAAATTCGTAATTAAAACAAAGTGCTAGAGTTGATAATTTGAACAGTTAGTGTATGCAATTACAAAAGTTAAATATTGCGGCTTATTTTTTAATTCACTGGGGTTCATGGGAGTATATATTTGTAGTCTCCGTGGTGTAGTGGTAAGACACTCGCCTGGCGTTCCGCGAGCGCTATGTCATGGGTTCGTATCCTGGCCGGGGAGGATTTACTGGGCGCAATTCCTTAACTGTAGCCTCTGTTTAACGCAACAGTAAAATGTGTACTTGGATGAAAAAACGATTCTTCGCGGCAGGGGATCGTATTCCAGGGACCATAGGATTAAGGACTTGCCCGAAACGCTACGCGTACTAGTGGCTGTACAAGAATGTAACAACTCTTGTATATATCTCAAAAAAAAAAAAAAAAAAAAAAAAAAAATACGCACGGGCCAACGATGGACAATACTCCACAAATGACGTGGAGCCAGATTCATGAAAGCACTTACGCAAGCACTTACGAACGAGTACATCTTTCCTCAATCTTGGACGGCATGGTTTACATTTATTAAATAGTTTACAAGCATGAAAACTTCCCATTCAACTGTTGTTAATGTTATAAACAGCCTCCTGGTACTTCGGAGCTCATTAACTGATTAATAATTAGAAGCAAAGCCGCCAAAGATTGAGAAAAAATGTAGACGGTCCGTAAGTGCTTTCGTGAATCTGGTCCGTGGGAAAGCGACATCTGGTGGCAAATTTTGCAGTCATGATAAGTGAATAAATCTCATTACTTTAACAAAATGCTCAGAAATACTAAAGCTTTAAAATACATTTATGAATGAAAATTCTTACACAGTATTAGAAAATACGTACTAATATTAATCATTATTTATTAGGATGATGATGTTATCGCTCGTCTCTCGGTCGGTAGTACATCCCTTTCGGACAAGCCAACCAAAAACCCAGTGGTTATTTTGACCAGATCACCCTGGGTAAATTATATACATTTACTAGACAGAAAACATGTACATCACACATACAAGAATAATATGACTCCAACACACTATGCTATTATAAAAAGGTTGCAATCCGATACCATCAGTTACTTATACCAAGTGGTTATCTTCTTGAGTTATCTTGAGATGATTTCGGGGCTTTAGTGTCCCCGCGGCCGGTCCTCGACCAGGCCTCCACCCCCAGGAAGCAGCCCGTGACGGCTGGCTGACTAACTCCCAGGTACCTATTTACTGCTAGGTAACAGGAGCATCAGGGTGAAAGAAACTATGCCCATTGTTTCTCGCCGGCGCCCGGGATCGTACCCGTGACCACAGGATCACGTGTCCAGTGTTCTGTCCGCTCAGCCACCGGCTAATTAGTAGCCCAACTCCTGGCTTGTAAAACAAATATGGCATTATCAACCCTAGAACATATATATATATATATATATATATATATATATATATATATATATATATATATATATATATATAATATATATATATATATATATATATATATATATATATATATATATATATATATATATATCTGCAGGTAATCCAGCCTACAGTTGTAATTCAATAAACTTTAGTATAAATATTCCTTGGCATAGAAATGATAATCACCCACCTTACCCTGCATCTTGCACGCTAATGTCAATCAAACACTCTACCTACTCCTTACAAGTAGTCAATAAGAACTTCCCACATCTGGGAGTTCACTACCCTGACATCATCAGGTTCTTCCAGGTTCATCTACCAGGATACCATACTACTTGTGTAAAGGAGGAAATGTATATGTTTATCTCTCAGAATGTTCGGTAATACGTTTATTGTTTGTGATGTGTGTCAGTGTATGTATTAACACGATGTACTGAACGGGGGTGAGAATAGCTTGATCTACCTCATCCCTTTGTGTGTATTTTACCTCAATAAACTTATTTCAATCTACCAGGATGGTCGCTACAGGTCTTCCAGGCTGCTACACCAGACCAGGAGGCCTGGTCGACGACCGGGCCGCGGGGACGCTAAGCCCCGGAAGCACCTCAAGGTAAGGTAACCATGAAGTTTCCCGTGGACTCCAGTGATACTCCACCACTGATTCCACAGAGGCATGAGAGACTTCACTGCTCCTCTTCACACAGTTTGAGGTCCAATTCCACACTACGGAGCTTGCTCTTCCACAGAGTGCAACATCCACTCCTTGAAGATCTACTCATTAGCGTCTTCTCTGGCCTCAAGAGTACTCCCATCAACTCCTTCCTCGGGACAAATCTGCAAACCATTGATACGCCAATAAAAATGTTCCCCTGCAAACATATCATGAAAATAAACTATATAATAAATGTAAATAAATAAATAAATAATGTAAATGTAAATAAAATAAATAAAACTAATAAATTTTGTAAATAAATAAAATAATGAAATAAAATAATAAAATAAAATAATGTGAATAAAATAAATAAAACTATATAATAAATTTTGTTCTCGTATGTCTCCACTCGACATCCCCCACGCCCGGGCGGGTCCATTCCGGCGGCCAGCTGGTCAGTCACCTGCAAGCTATCGGCAGGGGAGGATGTGCTGCATCTCCCTCCAGCTGGTTCTCTCATCTTTACTCTCTTATTTAGGCTTTCTGCCTTAACACAAAATGTCTAATATCTCAATAAACACTTCCTATGGTCGCTGGGCACACGACCAACTGCAGACAATCACTGTAAACTGTTTAAAATGCTTACCACAGATTTTGGCGCCCTCGCTGGCCGGGCGGCGACACTCGGGGCGCCTCAAGATAAACCACAGAACTGCTCCATAACACCTTCTGCAGTTCATGACTTGAGCTGACACGCCTCCCAACTTATTCCTCAGTCGAGACGTCTGTCCACTTCCTTCCTCTTGAAGGTATATCAAACACAGGTTCTTCTTCACCGGGGGATCAAACGGAGCACGCCCTCCCCTCACGATCTCTTCCGCTCAAGTGAGCTCAAGCTCGTCTGAAGCGAGCCTCACACCTCCAGCGAATTCTCCACATCATCTGACCATTCATTCATTTATAATCTTATTCACTGCCCATATTCTTAAATTGTCTGTCAAATTTAACCCATTGTTTTACGTATGTATCTTCATATCTATATTTATTTGACCTCTTAGTTAGGTCAGGCCTGATAGAATAACTCTCAAGGGTGAGACTCGTTTCTCAGCTACCTGGGGATCATAACATATTGCAATGCAAATAATACTAATTCTATGCAAACAATTAAGCGTCTCTGTTTTGATATCGTTCGCCTTATGCGTTTTTGTTCCCGTATTGGCATTCTTGGTGATATTTAGCGCCCTCTGATTATTTCGCACTTTGATGGTGCTACATAGCCTTCCCGGTTTGGTGCCTTCTTTTGATAATTACCTTACCTTAAGCGACTCTGACGTAACTATCTCTCCCCCTTCCCCCCCTGATCATGGTCGTTAACGTTAATGGCCGACCGACCTTACCTTAAGCGACTCTGACGTAACTACCTCTCCCCCTCCCCCCCCCTGATCATGGTCGTTAACGTTAATGGCCGACCGACCGAACGAGGTGGCACGCCTTTCCACTGCACGCAGAATGTGCCCAACCACCGTCACTTCCTGACATCTCAAGAGTCTAAATTGAGCTGTTGCCTTGCCCAAGTCCAGAAACTTTGACAACCGAGGTAATGGCCGTCTCCTGCTAAGTATATGTTTTGTATTACTAAGCTAGTGGTTAGATACGTCTTGTGCAGCAAAGTATTATCAAAGATTTTTTAGTATTTGGACAGTATAGTGTTAAGACAATAAATCAATGCTCAAGACAGTTCACAGAATTAGAAGTGACAGAAAATGTAAATGTTTATGTTTAAGAGGTTTGGTTTGGTTTAGTTAGCAGGTTAAGGCAATCACGATGGCTTAATAACAGTCAACTTTAAACTTAATCCAGCAGTAACGTGCGTACAATAGCACAGACGTTATTTCCAGCTTTGCATTAACACAAGTGATAATCAGCCAAGAATAACATTTTGGATGTAGAGTATTATTGGCTCTTAAGTTGATTGTGCGTAGACAGAAGCCTTGTATGTGTGTTGGCAATGTCTATGTTAATCTTTGTTCACAGGTATTGATGAAATAGTCGATAGGACTGTCAGAAGGCTGTCAAAGGTAGCTAGCAAAAGATTCGTAAACAAAAAGAGACACTCAGAGGAACAGAGGAGGTAGGCACGGTTGTTTTTGTAATTTACTTAGGTATATGAGTTAGTTTCAGTGACGAGGCTACGAGTAAACATGTGCAAACCACTTCATCTAAAAAAAAAATTGGCGGCAAACAAAGAACTTGATCTTAACCGTTATTATAATGACTAAGGCATTCCTTTATCACCATTTGAAATCGAAGATTTGAAGGGTGGTTAAACTTTGGTACAAGCTAAAAGACTAGGCTATCTTTTGAAATAGTTATGATACAGGAAGATTTTTAAGGTGAACTTGTTAAATCGATATCAATTATGGACATTAATAATTTTGACATTCACTGCATCATTACGTATTTGAGCTTTAGTTAAACCATGGCATGCCAACTCGCCAAATATTTTAACGGATAACTGAAATCTTTTCTTGGCTACATATCTTTAAAGTAATACAAAAAATGTGAATTACTTAGTTATAAAAGGATAACACATCTTCCACTTTGATAGTAAACACAGGAAGGGTTTAAATTACAGGGATTTGGATTATCACTTCATATAAAACTAAGTCATTTAGCTATATTATATTCATAAGTTTGACGCGCTATGGCTGTTTTCATTTGAAATTAGTAGGTACCAGCAAATGTTTGGAAGTGCTTGTTAGTGCCGCGTTTGATCATGTGTTGGTCAACATTATGCTAAGACAAATGTGGTAGTTTAACATTACACTTTTAAAGCGTTTAAGTTTTAACAAATGTCGTGATATTTAAAAATTGTTTTATGCAACAAAACTTCCATATTGCTTCACTAACTCTTATCTCCCACAGGTACTAACCCTGAACGGAAACCAATATGCATTACCTACATTTCAAAACCGTCAAACTGGATGACTAAGCATTGCCCAAGACTATGCATATGTTTGTTGGCAGTCTGAGTATATATAAAGTGAACAAAGCAATATACTTTTATTGAACAATATAATTTTATTTTACCTTTGCATTTTTTTTCACAACATTAAAATGAGTACGGCATGAAACTATGTACACAAAGTGATCGGTTGAGTTTATAACTGTGGTGTTCAGGTAGCAAACATTAATATTGCAAATTATTTTAAGAATACATTAATATTCACACGACTTAACGCGAAACATTAATTCCATTTGTGATTACTGTTGCCCATGTATTAATATATACATAAAGATATCATAGGCCGTGTTATGGCAATTACCGATAATGAGATTTTTCCAGCTGTTAATTACATTAAACATCGCAATCATAGTCATGAACATGAGCTGTTTAGAGAGCCATAATATCTGATGCCTATATGATCCACAGTGGTGGGGAAAAATCAACACTAAGGTGTTTACGTCCCCATACTACGGACTTTATTATTTGCACCACAGCTGACTGACAAACTTTGAAGTGTTATTTAAATAACCATGACAACGAAGAGTTCAACTTATAGCTGAAGCACGAATGTTCGTTACGATAACACCACTACGTAAGGTTTTACAATAAACTGGCTAGCTTTTGATCTTTCCCCTAGCAATTTTCTTAATAAAATTTAAAAAATGTACCTTTCGATAAACTTAACTATCATGTAATATATGCAACGGTATACCCCGATAAATCCTGATACTAAATTTAGTATTTCAAATCCTTAGTTGTCTATTCCGTGAACTTGTACGATTCGTTATTAGAACTTACAACTAAACAGATACATACGTTTTGCAAGTCTCACATATTACCAAATCAGTCTTGTGGTACCAAACTAACTCCAGCAACATGCCTGTATTTATAGTTATTCTAGTCGGATATCATCTCATGTTGCTTCTACCAAATTATCACTAGGCTACACATACTCTTGTTACTGTCAGGCCCCTTTTCTTGCCTGTCTGTCCCCCTTTTGTGCTAAGGGCTTGACTGAATCTTCATTGTCAAATCTTCGCGAAATTTGTACAATAATCTGCCATGTCTCCTCTGCACACCGTTCCCTTCAATTATACAATTATTCTCCAGATGTTAGACCATTCTCATTACTTTGCAAAGTATTTCAACCATCTATGACATTTGTGTTTCCAGGTTGTCATTTCCCTTTCTTCAGTATTTGATCTAGCAAATTACGTGCTACATTCTTCAGTATTTGATCTAGCAAATTACGTGCTACATTCTTCAGTATTTTACTAAGTACCAATAAACGGATCGTAGAATAATTTGCACTTTAGTCGTCCTCCCTTTGTCGCAAACCATCAAAAGTGGCTCATCTTCTACCACGTCTAAATTCTAGGGGAAAGCTGGCAGTAGCTACCTCCTTTCTCGGAGTACGTCTACTCCTCGAGCCCAGACTTGACTTGAGAGAGCTTGGTCCAACAGGTTGTTGCTTGGAGCGGCCCGCAACAGTTCCTTACGTGCCTCAATGAGCTTGCAGGACTGTTCTCTAGCTGCTTCTTCCTCGACCGTATGATCTCCAATGAGAGTTTTCCTCCCTACGAGAGAGAGTACATCAGATTTTCATGCTTCGTTGTGGCACAGCAGAAAATTGAACATTTACCGCTCGTGTGTGATAGGGGTAACAAGTCGATAATTCTAGCTACGATGTTGATATTCTGGAACATGAACGTCGCTTTTCGATCGTATGCGTTACATACGGCCAAATATTGGCGTACTACAACATGCAAGCTCCTCGTGAAAAGTGAAGCACTGTCCCGTTTTCTGTTTTGGCTCCTCTGGTAGGTTACGAAAGGACACTTTACATTCACGGTTTTCTTGACGTTGGGAAACCTTAGGAGGATGTGCTGCCGTCAGAACCACAACTTAATTTTGTTTATCATTGTACTTGTTGACTTGTACCCAGAACGAGAGCAAAGCCACAGCATTTCAGCTGGTACCCCTTCGACAGGTCGCAGTACCGATGGAAGAACTCTGTAGGGGTTGCTCCAAACTCAGTTTAATTTGGAAATATTCTTGTTTTTACATTTATTCATTTACGTGTCTTTGGTTACTTTATGACATTCAAAACGTCTTTGCTTTCATCTTACACTAACTAATGTCGTCCGTTTACCATGATTATTACACACTGCAACTTTATTATTTCTTGCCAATATATATTAATAGTGACCTCATCCATGTTTCGAAAATACTCTCGTGCTTTAGACAATATGAGGATAACTTACTTACATATACGACTCGTTTTACATGTTGGGTTCCTACTTGGCTCAACACTCTGCAATCCCGGGTTCCATTCCCGGCCGGGGCGAACATGTATTAGGTATAAGGAAACCTCTTCATCTACCAATAGTTACTTGGGTGTTAGACAACTGTTGTGGATTGCTTCTTCGACCTTGGGGGGGGGGGGGGAGAACCTCGATATAAGCCTAAAGTAAATATATACACACAAGCCTCCTGTCCCCGACATTCTCCATTATGAACGCAACTAATAAACCTTTAGACCGTTTCCACATACCAAACCGTCATTGATGGTCTTTGTGTAAAGCACGCTCATCTAGTTCGTGTTTAATGCTCTTGCATGCACCCCTAAATCAATTCGATTCCCTAACTACAGGATTCTTGTGTACATATAGGCCGCTCCCAACACTAAGCCGAGAAACAATACCAAGCCACCTATAACAACTCCACAACATTCACTTAACTTTCTCCAATGGGGGGTAGAAATAGCCTAAGCTACTCTATCCCTTTGAGATGTATTTTTTCTTGTCTCAATAAACATACTTGAACTTGAACTTTCTCCACAACCCCTCCCCCCCCCCTAACATGCCCCAAAGCCTCTCTCACACAAATAATGGCAAACTCTCTACTTTCAAAGCCTCATAAGACAACAGCGCTGGAAACCCCGAGAGTACCTTTCATCCTGCCACTTATCTTCTTTGAGACAACAAAAGGTCAATTCAGTCATACACACTTTTTTTCAATGTAATTTCTATCTACCTCTCTGAGTATAATTCTCTCCAAAGGCATATAACCGCCTTGGACAGGCCCGCCGCTACCCTCTTTCCAAATCCACAAACCCACCAACAGCCCTCCAACTTCATGGGAATTAAAAGCT